GGGTTTTTTCCCCCCCTACAGAATATAGGGACCATATGCCATGAAATTCTGGGTGAATTTCTAGATTATATAGATTATAATCTAGCATATCCCCTTTTGGGAGAGCACTGACAGGTACCACCTAATTTACTACCAAAGCAAGCCTGCAAATTTGTTTTACAGCCAACTCAAAGACAGCTAAAAATGCACATCCAGGTCCTGTAGTGTTTGCTGGGGCAAAAGCAAAGGGGTTTTTCCCCCCCTACAGAATATAGGGACCATATGCCATGAAATTCTGGGTGGATTTCTAGATTATATAATCTATAGATTATTGGTTCATCTCAAAATGTGAGCAACGAGCAACAAGGAAAAGCCATAAATAGCATTTTGCTTCTCATTAAATTCCATTACATCCAGTTAAATGCAGTTTTAGGAAATAAAAAAAGATCATTTCAGGTCTCCTTGTATCCACCCAGTGAGTCATTGATGAGGAACACTGAGGAAACATAAGGTTTTATTTTAAATTTCACTTTTAATTATCCAACTTTCAGTGCAATTGTCTTACAAGTCCATATTGAAAGGATATTTTTCCTCACCATCTACAAAATGATGTTCAATAATAACCTGAACCATCCAGGTCCTGGTTTGGTCCAGATGGAAGCATTGAAGCATTGGCAAAGTGAGGATTGGTATCTGAAACCTTTGTGAGAGTCCTCATTAGGAAGGATGAAGCTGAGCCTTGGATTTTCAAAGCTTTAAGCTCTAGAAGGACTCCTGCAACCTTCCTGCTTTCTAATGCTCATCATTTTCTTGGGTAAATTTGTTCCTGCTTTGCTCATTGCTCCATATAAAAGTGGAAAGCTTTTCAGATGGAAGGGACTTAGATGTGGAGCAAAGTATTTCTACAACATTTTTTTCAACCCTCATAAAAACTCCCTGTGTTAATTGCCCCCAAAGATATTTAAGCATTTTTGGCTTCTCCCTTGCCTTTTAAATGTCTGTGTTGTTTGGAATTTCTCCATCATCTCGGGACTAAAGTACCTGTGAAAGTTGTTCCTCATTAAAACCCAACCACAGCAGCTTCACTCCCATCCTCCTGCAGGTTCTGCTCTGCCACCCAGACTGACAGCCCTGGGTGTGCTGCATCCTTCCTCCTTTGAGAAGTTCACTGAATTTTAAACAATTAAAACAACCATCCTGTTTAAAAATGCAATAATTTCACTCACAAGATTTTTTTTTATCTCCAATCCCCATTTTTTCTTTCTTTTGGCACAAATTTTTGTCTCAAACCTGCAGAAAACCTGATCCACTAAAATAAAAGAGCCAGAAGAACCCAACTCTTGAAGGTTTTAATCCCCAGCATTGCTCTGAACTTCAGATTATTATAAATCTTCATGAGAACATCTAAGTACTGTGGACAATCAATTAAGCCCACATCAATAATTTTAGGAGTGACTTGTTCTAAACTTTGTGGAGGACTAAAGGGGCAAAATGCTGCTGCTAAGTAGTGTCATTTTTTGTTTATTTAAGGTTCCAGCCTCCAAATGTCTTGTATTGACACAAGATGCTGTATTACAACTGGATATAAGCCTGATACAAAGCCAGGCTTACTGAGGTTCCTTCTCAGGCTTGCACTGTCACCTGCTGGGGAGTGTTTGTACAGCTCAAAATCCCCAACTTTGAGCTTTTCAACCCAGAGTGAGCTATGATCCAATTCCCCTGCTGATTATCCCCTCTATGATGTGCTATTTATCCCATGTGATATTTGACTACTGAAAAAAAACCTCCCCAGTTTTTGAGGGAAGATTTAAGAAGCCATGAATTAAAGCCTCAAAGAAGATGCAATGTTCCAGCTGTAATTAGGGGTTTTTTTCCTCATCAAAAGCATCAGCTAGTGTCAGAATCACAGAAGCAAAGAGCAAATAAATCATTTTTCTCCCTCCTTCTGAAGATTCAAGACATGTGATAGGCCTTAGATATAAACCAGTCCAAGGAGAACAGCACATCAGCTCATTCTTAAAACAAGGGAGTTAAAAACAACAGACCTTGAAGTGTTTCTTCAGGTTTTTGGTTTGTTATTGCTCCTTAACACACAGATCTGAGGCAGCAGGTCCAAGGCAGACACCAGTGTCCTGCTATGTATTTAGCAGACTAGGAAAATATTCCAGTGATGACATCTAAACCCTCCTCCAATGACAAAGAAAGTTACACCTACAGTTCAGTAGAACAAACAGGGATCATAGTTATCCAAAAGTGGGATCTGTAGCCTGGTGCATGGGTTGCACAACTCACCTGCTGTACCAGAAGCTCCCTGAAGTGTTGAGCTCCTTTCCAGCTCCTCTTGGACTCCAGTGCAAGCAGGGATGAAATAAATTCTCAAGGTTTTGAAAGCTATGAAATTCAGTCAACATTGTAAGTGCAAGTTAAACCACTTCCTTCATGCACCAGTGGCATAAAACAACTTTAAATCTATTTGTTTATCTATTTCTCCCAAATGGTTGGAATAGAGACTATGGAATAAAGAGAATTTGAATCTTACAAAGTCCCATGGTTGAGAATTGTTGTGTCCCTAGTCCTGCTTCACCAAAAACCTTCCAGCCACACCCTGGGCTTCCCCCCCAACAGGAATCTTTAATAAAACATGACACATCTGGAGAGAAAAGACACATCAGGTTTGTTGGTTTGGGTTTTTTTTAAGCATTTAGACAGAAAAAATGTTTCACTGCAAACGTTGGCAAGTTGCTTCAAATACCATCAGGCATTTCCTACCTCAAAACCTACAGCACATCACACAAACCCCCTGAAAATCACCAAATAAAGGAATTAGGCAGCAGCTAGCTTGCAGGTAGACCCCACAGGGAGGAAGAGTGGGCCAACAGGCAGATGCAGAATCACAGAACCATAGAATGTTTGGGTTGGAAGGGGCCTCCAAAAGGTCCTCTAGTCCAGAGATATCTCCAACTAGATCAAGCTACTCAGAGCCTCATCAACCCTGACCTTGAATGTCTCCAAGGATGAAGCCTCCACCATACAGACTAAGGAGCAAAGTGTTTTCAAATGATCTTCAGCATCAAAATACCTGAATCCTTCCAAAAGAGGGACACACTTTGGTAGTCAGAGGCTTCTCAAAGAATCAGGAGCACACAACCTGGAAAACTTTGGAAATACTGCTTTATTTTCCAGTGAATATCCAACTTGCAACCCCTTGTGAGCCCTCAAATTGAGAGAAACCTAAAAAATCTACAGCTCCAGTGCACAGTAAATTAGGTATCTAAAATCTTAATAAAAATTCTCAGTGCAAAAATAAAAATGAAATAGGTGTGCAGTTAAATGCAGCTTGTTGTAAAGGTCTTTGAGCACGTGGACATGAAATCATCTGGTAACAGAGAAGCCATTTTCAGGCTGTGCTCAAACCCAGCAGAATTATTCCACACTCAATTCTGGAAGACAGGCAAGAACCAGCTTTTTCTTTTTCAATGCAGGGCAGTGTAGTTACAACATTCCTCAAGAGCAGGAAGATGGGACAGAGGTCACCTTCTGTTCCAGCAGGGGTTGTTGGAAAGAGGCTTTCCCATTTTTTTCATCTGGAGGATGCTTTTGAGACATCCAGGGGGAGGATTTTCCCCATCCACAAAGTGAATGAACAACATTCCAGTGTGGGCAACTCCCCCTCTTCCAGTCCAGGCTCATGGGGAGGGATGAAGCTGTTGGGTCTCCAGTAGCAGGCAGAGCAGCCTGGCAGGAATTCAGTGTGGCTGGAATAAGGATTTGAGATTTCTTCTTCCATCTCCTTGGCTCACTTTTAATCACACCACCAACCTGCTGCCAGGAATGGAGCCTTGACACCAGGCCATGCCCTCACACAAGCAGCCACTGTTGGTGTGGGACTGTTGCAATGCAGGTAAAGGGGAAATTCTGTTTATTTTTACCCATTTCCATGCTCTATGGGACAGCAGTTAAATTATGGAAAGCTATTTCCTGCACTGTTAGCTCACAGCAGATTTCAGAGGTGCTGTGTCTTGTTAATGAGCTGATTAGACTGACTTCCCTAATCACTACTAATTGCAAATTTTAAATAAAGAAAGCCATGCAGGAGCCTCACCTACCCTGTAACAGTTTGTAAGGAAACAGTTCACTACTGCTTGTGTTCTGCCACTAATCTGCTCGTTTGCTAGGCTGATAAAGGAAGAAAAGTCTTTCTTTGATGGCTTTGTGAAGTTCTGCCACGTTTATCCTGAGTAAACCAACAGCATATCAAATATTTAAGGTCAATACTGTACTACCTACCAAGCTAACAGACTGAGCTGCTTCTCATGATTACTTCTGAGCTTGTTTTGGCTTTGCTTGGAACAGTAAAGCTGAAAGAGAGGCCTGAGACACCTACAAGGAGAGAAAAGACACTGTCCAAGCTCACTTGGCCATTTTCAAGTTAGCAAAACCCACTTAAATCTCAATCCTACCTTTTAAACTGAACATAAAACCCAAAAAATTGGGAGTTACAACTGGATTTCAAAGTCTGTTGAGATCTTTTGTTGCTGAAGCTGCAAAGTAAAGGATTCCATGAAATAAGGTGGATTTCCTGAACTCTGTGACTGGGGTCTGTGGTTTTTCCCAGTGAATTCTCTAGGGCTGGAACCTATCACACCTACTTTTTGGGAAAGGGCTGTGCCTGCAGAAGGGAACAATGAATGTTACTTCAGCCCCTGCTTTCCCAAATGGAATGAATCTCTTTGCAGATGGGAGAGAACTCCAGTTTGCAACTCCCTGAGCTGATGCAGTCCCACAAGGCCATCTCCAGTGCCACCTTCCCACAGATGAGGAAACCCTGGCACTGCCCCAGCCCTGAACAGAGCCACTGTGGAGAGGCACTTGTGCTGGGAGCCTACAAGCCTCTCCCTCCCCTGCCTAACCCAGGGAGGAAATTCTCCTTTTTTCTTAACTTTCAGCTTTCCAAAAGCCTCTCAATTTAGGTCAGAAGCAACTGAGCATTGGCACAAACCCAGTGTTGTAGAAAAAAAGTCTCAAAAAGAGCTGTATTTGGCCAGATCCTTCTCCATCTCAGAGTACTGCTCTCTGAGGCGTTCCACAGCTTTCCTGTGCTCTTCATCCACCTCCCCACGCTGCTTCTGCTGCTCTCTCATGAATTCCTCCCAGTGGGCTACCTGCTTCTCCTCCCGGGCCAGCAGCTTGTCCTCCTGGAGCTGGGAGGAGGGAAAGGTGAAGGGTTAACAGCCATTTCTGTATTAAAATCAAAGGTTTCATTAGAGCATGTGATGTTAGCATAGAAACACTGAATGGTTTCCTTGTTTTGACTGATTTGGGTCATTCAAAACCTTAACAGTTGTAAAAACATCCAATTTTACAGTAAAATTTTGGGTTTAGTCTTTGCTTATTGTTTTTACTTGGGCTATTTTTCTTGAAATTAAAAAACACTCCCAAAAAACAAGCCCACCACCACCTCAAAAAACCCCAGAGCAAACCCACCACCAGTCGAGGCAGACACAGGCTTTGAAAAATGTTTTAAAAATAAAAAAATATAGAAGTGTTCTAAAATGTTCTAGAAAGGTTCTAAAATGTTCTTTGGGAAGTGAGCACTAGTTCCATGCTTAAAGAATTAAGAGGTAAGATCATAACTGGGAGTGTTAGGGAGCTTCCAGGATAAACCTGTACCTTCTACATAGAAATATTTAATATAAAAGTAATTTTAAAAAATAATATAGGACCAAAAAAAGGTTTACACAATCTCTGGAAGTTTTTCCCCCAAGCTTAACCTGATGCACAGCTTGAACTACTAACTAGATCCTACTGATAACCAGGCAGGGGATTCCAGAAATTTCAGATTTCAGGAAGAAAAACTAAGAATTATTTCTCCTCAGGTGGCTGCACTACAATGAAAACTTTCAGCTACAATCTCAAGGGAGTTACCTACCTGTTATTACCCATGTTTGGAAAGTTTCAAGCCAAAAAAATCTTATTTTAGAAGCTTTAAGAAATGCTACAAATCTTGAATAGCTTTTGGCCACAGAAAAAAAACAAATTGTGAAGCATTGTGAATATTTGGCAATTAACAAGATAACAAGGGAAGAGAATCATGAAGGAGCAAGAGGAAAACATGAAGCTAATTCCTTGTGGAAGTTTCCAAATTTTAGGCTCTGAGCACATGGATTTCCAACTGAAAAGATTCCAATGAGTCACATGTTCCTATAAATATCAAACAACCCATCTAGGAGTGAAAAAAACACTTCCTTTTCAAGGAGCAATATATATGTATATAATATGGTCAATGTTCTCAGCTAACTAGGAAAGATTTACATTTCTAAAGTGGGTGTTTTTTGTTCCAGAGCAAAAATAATTTGTTTTTTTTATATTTAAGCTTCCTTTGTATGTGACAAATCCCCCAGGCTGAGCTAGGAGGGAAATTAAAGCCAAGGAAAGAAAAATCAGTTCCCATTGATCAGGGGATAAATCCCTCCATCCTTCCCTTACCTTCCTCTCCTCATGCTCCCTCTCTTGGAGTCTCTGGATTGTGGTGTTGGCAGCTTGCACTGAAATGACAAATCACAGAATAAAATCATAGAATCAGAGAATTCTTTAGGTGGGAAGAGACCTCCAAGCTCATCAAATCCAACCATCAAAGGGAAGGAGGTCAGTTTGCTGTTCTGCACCACAGACACTCTCCCCAAAGGGATTTAAGAGCCACAAATGAGGCTGCTGCATGCCACAGACCACATCCCACCCTGCCACTGAAGCTCTGCAAAGCTCAAAAGCAAGAGGCAGCTGGGTCCTCCTGCCTCCAGACTCCTCAGTGCTCCTGCACCGTGCTGCCCAGCACCTCAGGAGACTCCAAAGCTACTCCCAGGCTTTGCAGCAGGTTCCCTGTGGCAGGGGACAGAGGTTCCCAACCTGTCTAGCTGTTTTGTCACCCAGGGAGGTTTGGTGCTTGCCCAGAGCTTGTGGAGGAGGTGCTGAGGCCCTGTCAGCCCTGCTGCTCTTCCACGTGGACTTACACATAGTGGGGAGTGCAGAGGTGACCTGAGAAGTACCTGGAATGATTACAGGGATCTGGGGACAGTGGTCAAATGCAAGGGGGGTCCCCACAATGTTCTCCTCAACTTGGAGTTCCCCCTCCTGGTGAGAGGGACTCGATGGACAAGGGGCAGAAACTGGAACCCAGGAGGTTCCAGCTCAACAGGAGGGGAAAAAAAAACTTTCCTGTGAGGGTGGCAGAGCCTGGAGCAGCTGCCCAGAGAGGCTGTGGAGTCTCCTGCTCTGGAGAGATCCCAAACCCCCCTGGATGTGACCCTGGGCACCCTGCTGGAGCAGGGGGTTGGATGAGATGATCTCCAGAGGTCCCTTCCAACCCTGGAAGTCTGGGATAGATTTTGCTGAAAGAGCTTCTACTTATATCAGAAAAAAAAAAAACACTTTAATGTGACCTTAGCAAGAGCTGTGTTGGCTGGATGAAAAAAAACAGGACCAAACATCTGTATTTCCCTTTTCAAATTTCCCAGAAAAAGAGAATGGAAATGGCAGAAAATTGATCCAAGGAGGATCAAATTTCCACTCATCACATTTTTGAAGGCAGACTATCCAAAATTATCCCTCAAAATGCCACAAGAAGGGGAAACCAGGAGCCACGTGCTTACCTCTCTTGAGCACTTCACTCAAGCTGTGGTGCAGGGCCTGCTCATTCCTCAGCAGAACGTGCTCATTGGCTTCCAAAATTGTGTTCTTCAGATTTTCCAGCACTCGCAGCTCTCGGAGGCCACGTTTTTCCTGCCAGGAGAAGGGAGAGAAAAAGAGTGGATGGGGGGCTAGCAAGGGATTCCAGTTCCAAAATGAGGTGGTTTCTTAGTTGATAAACTAATAGTTATACCCTAAAGACTGGAGAGTTGTCTGTGGGAGTGTTATTCTACTTGCTTACAGTCTTTACCCACTAGATTCTAAGGAGAGAAAACTCCTTCTCCAGCCAAAAAATTGTCCGAGATCTTAAAAGTTAAAAGCAAGTGTCATTTTGGGAAGAAATTCTAAGTTGCAAAAGAAAAGGTAAAGAAATGGCTGCTTTGCTATTTCCCCCCCTCCCTAAAAGTATCAACCAGAAATTAAATTTCAGGGAAAGACCTCAGAATGGATGAAATTTGCCTAAGAAATACAACAAGACTTCAGGTGCACTGAGAGAATGAGGTGAATTTTATGAGTTTTAATTCTGTAACTGAGCTTAAAATTTTCTTCCTATGAAAAGCCACATAAAACTATTTACTGCACCCTGTAACATTTCCAGGACTAATTTTAAGGATTTAAATTCCACGTTCCCCAAGAATAAAAAAAATCTACTCAGCAACAGCCTTTTGTTGACCCAAGATTCTATTTTTCTAAACTTCTGCTGCCATCTTGTGGAAACCACATTGCACTTCCCAAGCAAAATCCCAAATATTCCTAACAGGTTTTTGCAGGAGAAATAATATTTATTGCCCCTTTCAAAGCTTTTTAAGTAAAAAGATCTAAATTACTGCCTTGTTTAATACAGATGAAAACATATACTCTAGATGTGGTAAGTTATTTTGGGCAAGGACTACAAGTTGAGTCTTTCTGAAGGAAACTACATACACACTACAGCCTTTAAGACTAAAATTGAAGTCTTACACCCTGAAGACTTCAGCACCTCTAAGATATCAGTACTTACTTCAAATTCTTTAATAAAGTAACGGATTTCTCCCTGAATGACTGGCCTGTGATCCAGCAGCCTCGAATAGATTTCTCCAACATCTGGAAGATGAAAGACAGTCAGATTGGCAGTTTTTCTCTCACACTCCACAGCAGCTGACTCACCAAATACACAGGGAATCCAAACAGCACTGGAAGAAATGTTTGTGGGCTGTCCTACCTATGGAGAGACACAATCTCTCCAGAG